CCAAATCAAGGCGGACGCCCCCCCCCCCACACACACACACACAAAACCCACCCACCCACCCACCCATCCACCCACCCACTACTCTCCTCCCGCCACCTTCCGCACCCAAGCCCCCCACCCTGTCACCCCGCCCCCGCCCGCAGGTTGTGATGGCGACGAACCGCATCGACATACTCGACTCGGCGCTGCTCCGGCCCGGCCGCATCGACCGCAAGATCGAGTTCCCCAACCCGAACGAGGACGCGCGGCTCGACATCCTGCGCATCCACTCGCGCCGTATGAACCTCACCCGCGGTATCGACCTGCGCAAGATCGCCGCGCAGATGAACGACGCCTCCGGCGCGGAGACCAAGTCGGTCTGCACCGAGGCGGGCATGTTTGCGCTGCGCGAGCGGCGCGTGCACGTGACGCAGGACGACTTTGAGATGGCGGTGGCCAAGGTGATGAAGAAGGACAACGAGAAGAACATGTCGCTCAAGAAGCTCTGGAAGTGACACCTCTGTAGTACTCGTGTAAACATATTTGCAGCGTTGTTCAGCTCTCTCATTCCTGTAAAAAATGTGGTGCGGCGGTGAGGCAGCCACATCTCGCTCCGATCGCGCTTCGCGGGAGACCAATCCCGGGCAATCCGCGTGTACGTGTCATCTCGCAATTTCGACCCTACAATGTGCCTAAAGACCCAGCCCACGAGTACGTCCCAGTATATGTGTGGCGATCGATTCACGGGTTTCCGCGCGGATACGCAGTACTACTGGTACTCACCGTGACCAAATGAAAGTGTTTGCGCGGATGAGCGCTCGCCCTCTTCCGGCGCTCTGTGTGCGTGGGCCTGAGTCGGCGCCGCCGCAAGGCATCGCCCACTGATCGCCCATCGGCCGCAGGCCCCGTTGCCGGTCCCATTGGCGCCACTTTCAGTGCGACGAGCTGCCGCTGCCGAGGAGCGACTCGTGGGCGTCCACGATGTACACGCCGCCCCAGAAGAGGACGTAGGCGCGCTTGTCGTCCACGGTGATGCACCGCGGCACAGCAGGCCCGTTGCGGACGCTCACGGAGATGGTCTGCCAGAGGACTCCCTCGGATGAGAGCACGTGGGTGGACGATCCATTGGCCAGAAAGAGCCGGTCGCGACGGGCCGTCACCACCCCTCCCTTGATCGGGCCGAGAGCTGTGCCCTTGCCGCCGAGCGGGCGAGGCGTGCCAAAGGAGTCACGAGCACACAGGGGGACGATGAGCAGCTTGTTTTGCTGCTTCCCGCTGATCACGGCAATGTTGTCGCCGATGACGGCCAGCGATGTTGGAAATGGAATCTTCGACTTGCCACCGCAGTCCTCGCCGCGCGTGGAGCTCAGCCAGAGCAGCTCTGCCGACGAGGAGGAAGTCTGGAGCGCCGCCACCCGATTGTTGGCTGAGTCGCTGACGAAAAGTCGCTCCCGCCTTGCGCAATGTGCGAGTCCGGTTTGGGCATCGAGCCGAAGCTGACCGTCGCCTGCGCCCCGCCCGCCAAAGCGGCAAACGAGGCGCTTGTCTGCGAGGCACATAGTCCCGATCTGGCTGGTATTGCAAAGTGTCATGTGCAGGTGAGGCCCGGCGACGACCATGCCGCCGACGTCCTCGGCCAACACCTTGCTGAGCTGCACTTTGCCGTGGAAAAGCTCGTGCTGCTTCACCGGGGACAGAGACCGCGAGACTTTCACGAGGGACAGCGTGTCGCCCGAGCACATCAGGGCGCCCGCAGCCGAGGCCTTGCACAACGAGGGCACGCTCAGGATCTGGGAGGCGTGGATGCCCATGAGACTGAACGGGGAACCGTCTTCGAGCAGTTTCCCTTCGCTCCCGCGATGGTTCCACTTGAGCACACACCACTCGCGGGCGAGAGCGGCCGCGACCGTCGACCAAGCCTTGCAGACGAGCGGGGCCGACAGTGTTCCGTCGCAAGAGCGCATCACAGCGATTCCGCCGGATTCGAGGATGATCTTGAGGAGGTCTGGATCATCGAGCACTGCCGTCGCAGACACCGACTGGGCCAGCTTTGCGCGCTGCTTGCGAGCCATGATGATGGGAAGCCAGTGCGCAGCGCCCACGGAATTCTTTTGTGGCCCGCGAAATTCTTTTGCCCTGGCTGAGTGCCAGTTATGCGCGGCGGGCGGTTAGAGACGTTACGGGAGGCTTCGGAGGTTGGAGCGGAGCGAGCGTGTCTCATTGCGTCAGGCCCACGACCACACCCACCGGAGCGTGGCGGGCGGTGGCGCAGGGCCGGCACACCATGCCGAATCCCTAGGGAGCACGGCCGCGCAGAGCGCGGCCGCGAGGAGGCCTGCCCATATGTGATGAAAACTCTCTACCTCAACGGCAACGAGATCGGCGAGGAGGGCGCCAAGGCACTGGTCCGCTCTGCGCGTCAACGGGGTGCTGAAAACCCTCAACATCGGCAACAACAATATCGGCCCCAAGGGCGTCGCCGCGATCGCCGAGGCGCTGCGCGGCAACGGGGTGCTGACCTCCTTGGACGTGGGCTTCAACGGCCTCACCAAGGAGCAGGCCCTCGGCATCGTCCGCGTCGAGCGGCAGCGCAACAAGCTGACCTCGCTGGGCTTGGCTGGCTGCCGTGTCGGCCCGACTGGCGCGGCAGAGATCGCCGAGTACGTGTCGGGCAGCGCGGTATTGACCTCCTTGGACGTAAGCAAGCACCAACATGGCCGAGGAGGCGGCCCTCAGCATCGTGCGTGTGTCGAGCGGCAGCGCAACAAGCTGACTTTGCTGTGCTTGGGTGGCTGCGGCATCGGCCCGACTGGCGCCGCAGAGATCGCCGACTACGTGTCGGGCAGCGGGGTGCTGAAAACCCTCAACCTCGAGTCGAACAACATCGGCGGCGAGACAGGCTACATCGAGGCGAGCGAGGTCGAGGGCGAGTCCAAGGAGGTCGGAGCTAAGGTGATCTACCAGGGACGTGAGATGGTTGTGAGCGTGGGGGTGGACTCCGACGGCGACCTGAAGCTGGTCGATATAGTGCAGACGGGCGTACTCGCGATCGCCAAGGCCCTCGAGGTCAACGCGGTGCTGAACTCCTTGGACGTGGGCTTCAACGGCCTCACCGAGGAGGCGGCCCTCAGCATCGTGCGTGTCCAGCGGCAGCGCAACAAGCCGACCTCGCTGGGCCTTGCTCGCTGCAATATCGGCCCAACTGTCGCCGTAGAGATTGCCCAGTACGTTTCGGACAGCGAGGTGCTGGAGAAAATCGACCTGTCCTCCGTGTCAACCGTTTGGGCGACGAGGGGGAGGGAGTGATTCGAGATGCGGTGAGCGGGCGGGAAGGGTTCGCGCTCGAGATGTGAGTGGATAGAGCGGAGCCTGCGCAGGGATGTCATGCTCTAGAGACATGTAGCCCAGTCTGTCCCAGTAGCTGTGGCGTTTGAGCATGATCTCATTTCTCGGCCGGGTGGTCGACAGCGGGGGCCGGGTGGTCCTGACCTGTGCCCTGACCCCTGTGGGAGGGACACGCGCGAGCTCGAGGTCGAGCGCGCGAGAGCCCCCCCCCCCCACCCACCACCACTGTGTGTGTGAATAAGTGTGGAGAAATTTACCTTACCTGACCTTACCTGATCATTTCTGCCTGGGACACAGCGTGAGAGCCCCTCGCCTGTCAGACACGCACCCGACAGCACCCGACAGCACTGACAGCACCTGACAGCTGGTCTGACAGACGGAGAGGCACTTGACAGTGCCTGACAGCTGCCCGACAGCCCGACAGATCACCTGACAGCACCTGACAGCCTGACAGCCAGGGCTCAGTTAGGCTGCCCTCGCTTCAACTTTAGCAGGGTGCTTAATTGTGATACGAGTGGGACCCAGAGATGCAGAGTACCCACATGATGTGCGTTCCTATGGGGCAGAGCTCAGCCATCCCTGCGTCAGCCGCTCCAGCACAGCAGTACAGCAGAGCGCAGCACGAAGGCTGGCGCGGGTAGTTGCACGAGTCAAAAGCTGCCGGCCTCAAGCCGGCCAAGCGAGGCCGCGAGGCGCCAGCCGCCAGCGCCGCAAAGCCAAAGGGCAAGGCAGCCGATCGAGGGGCCAGCCGAGGGCGGCTCGGAGGCGGCGGCGGCGTGAGCTGGGACGATGTGTTTGGGAGATGGAAGCTGAGCCTGGGGGCACGTGTGGGACCGCGCGGAAAGCGGATGGTAATGAGCGCGAGTGGTGTTGAGCGCCGGTTGACGGCCGGCTCAACCGTTGTCACGAGATGTTTCTTTTTCAGTCTCGCTGGAGCCGCAGCGACACACACGCGAGAGCGAGCGCGAGCGCGGAGGACGCAGAGAGCCCAGGCAGGAGCTCCCGGGCCGCCCCAGCCGGGGGCAAACTAACTTTCCGACCACCGTCCGCGCGCGGGGATCCGGCTCACATCTCAGTCAACATGGTACATGCGCTGACCCGCTCCGGCGAGCGCGTCCTTGATGCACGATGGAAGCTACCAAACGCTCCACAGCGAGAGTCTAGCCACGCTCTTCTTCGTTGAGCAGCTCGCTATGAGCGCTGGGCCGCCTCGTCCGCTGCCATCCTGGCGGCAGTCGCCCTGGCCCTCGCAGCGGCTGCAGCAGCACGCAACGCCTCTGCAGCGGCCGCCGCCTCCTCGAGCGCTGTCTCGTGCCCCTCACGCACCGCCTTGGCCCTCTCAAACGCCGCCTCGGCCTCCGCCTCTGCCACCTTTGACATCGCCTGCACTGCCTCGGCGTCCACCAGCGCCGCCACTGCCGCCGCCTCGGCCTCCTCCACTGCCTCCGCCTCCTCCTCCATTTCATCGGCCTCAGCGTCCAAGCGTACCGCCTCGGCCACCTTGGCCGACGCCGCTGCCTGGCTCTCCGGCGTGATGCCGAGTCGGATCCTCTCCTCGGTGAGCGTCTCGAGAAGCAGGAGAAGCCTCGCCTCCTCGGCCTTCTTTGCCGCCTCGGCTGCGTCTGCCTCCGACGGCGCCTCGGCAACCTCCTCGGGCCCCTGCGATGGCCCCGCCCCGCCCGCCCCGCTGCCCTTCTTCTTCTTCTTCTTGCCCTTCTTGCCCTTGGCGCGCTCCGCCTCGACCTCCGCCAGCAGCTCCTCGGCGTGCCGCGCCGCCTCCTTCTCCTCCGCCGCCCTCTGCGCCTCCCTCTCCGCCGCTCCCGCGGCCCACGCCACCTCCGCCGCCGCCGCCGCATGCTCCTCGAAGACGCGAACGCACTCGGCGTGGCCCTGCTCCGTGGCGCACTGCAGCGCGGTCTTTCCCTCCGTATCGCACAGCGTCGTATCTGCGCCCGCCCGCAGCAAGCGGAGCACGACGGTGGAATGGCCGAAGAAGGCGGCGTCCATCAGCGCGGTGCCGCCGTCGCTGTCCTGCACGTTGATCGTCGCGCCACGTCGCAGCAGCTGCTCGACCACCTGCTCGTAGCCGTCCTGGGCTGCGAGTTTCAGCGCGGTGTTGCCGTTGCTGCCCCGCTGGTCGACCCTCGCGCCTCGCTGCAGCAACAGCTCGACCACCTGCTCGTAGCCGTCCTGGGCGGCGAGTATCAGCGCAGTAACCCCACCGATGTTCTGATGGTTGACTTCCGTGCCGTGCTGCAGAAGTGAGTCGACCGCCCGCTCGTGGCCTTTGTTGGCGACAAATAGCGCGGTGTCGCCGTTGATGTTCTGCCAGTGAATATCCGCACCGCTCCGCAGCAGAAGGCCCACCACCTGCTCGCGTCCTTCCTGGGCGGCGAGCATCAGCGCGGTATCGCCGTGGCAGTTTCGCAGGCTGATGTCCGCCCCGTGCTGCAGCAGCATGTCGACCACCCGCTCGCTGCCATGGAAAGCGGCGACCATGAGGGCGGTGTTCTCTTCGCTGGTCTGCACGTTGATCTCCGCGTCGCGCAGGAGCAGCGAGTGGACCACCCGCTCGTGGCCGTTGCCGGCGGCGAGGATCAGTGCAGTACTGCCAACGCTATCGCGCAGGTTGATCGCCGCGCCGTGCCTGATCAGCGTGTCGATCACTTTCTCGTGGCCATTGCCAGCGGCGCCTATCAGCGCGGTGCCGCCGAAAGTAGTTTGCTGGTTGATCTCCGCGCCGTGCCGCAACGCCAACTCGACCAGGTGCTCGCAGCCGTTCAAGGCGGCGAGATTCAGCGCGGTAGTGCCTTCGCCGGTCTGCAACTCGAGGCCCGCACCGCGCTGGAGCAGCATCTCGGCCAGCCCCTCTTCGCCCTTCCCCATTGCGAGCATCAGCAGCGTCATGCCGCTCAGAGAGACGTCCGAAAAGACGTACTCGAACCTCGCATCGACCCACCCGCCGCCGTCTAGCCACGCCACCACCGCCGCCTCATCGCCTCGCAGAATCTCTTCTGGCACCACCCTGCTGCTCGGCGCCGCGATCGCGCCTCCCTCGCCGCTCGAATCAGAGGCCGCGGCACCCGCCGCGCCTGCGCCGCCTGCTTCGGCCGACGGTGCCTTGCTCCGGCCCGCTGCCACCTCCCCGAGATGCGTCCGGAAGGCCTGAACGCACTCGGCGTGGCCATCCTCCATGGCAATCTGCAGCGCCGTCTTGCCCACCGCATCGCGCAACGTCATGTCTGCGCCCGCCCGCAGCAAGCGGAGCACGACGGCGGGGTGGCTGAAACAGGCGGCGAGCATCAGCGCGGAGCGATTCTGTTGTTCTTCCTGCAGGTCGATCTCTGCGCCACGCCGCAGCAGCAGATCGACCAGCCGCTCGTTGCCGCCGTGGGCGGACGACACCAGCGCCGTTCCGATCTCCGCACCGTGCTGCAGCAGCACGTCCACCATTCGCTCGCGGCCGTAGTAGGCGGCAGTGTTGAGCGCAGTGGTGCCGCAACTGTTCTGCAGGTTTATCTTTGCGCCACGCTTCAGGAGGAGCTCGACAATCTGCGCGTGCCCGTTCTGTGCGGCGATCATCAGCAGGGTGCATGGAATCGTAACGCCGCTGACCTCAGAGGGTCGCTCAGCGAGAGTGTCGGCCTTCCCGCCGTCATTCAGCCACGATCGCACTGGTCCCATGCGGCCGTCCGCAGCCGCCTTCAAGACGTTCTTTGGGACTTCACCACCCGGCGCGCTGTCAGCAGACCGCGGCGGCGTGCGGAGCGCGGCGTTGGCGCGGGAGAGCGAGGCGGGCATTCTCAGGCTGATTTCTTTTTCTGAGGCGCGGCCGCCACAAGGTTCCTGCGAGAGGTAGTGTTATCGGACACGGCTCCGGGCTCTGATGCTGTGAGCCCCGGACCCTCCTTGCGAAGCACACACGCCGGTGTGGAAGGGGGAAGTCCGGAATCGCCGAGAGCAGCGCGTGGGAGCATGGCCTCGCGCTGGGAAAACTCTTTTGTCCTACTCACTCTTAGCCTTGAAGTACAACGACCTGGGTGTGAGCCAAGTCCGTGGCTAAGTCGAGTTGGGGCAGCGAGCGGCCTGTCATGTCGACTCGCCCATGCCCATTGGTACCTTGGATCGTCGTAAGATCCCGCGTCATCTTCCCAGACGTTGGTCATGTCGGTGATGGTGAAGGAGGTTACGTATTGTTCGTACTCCTCGCCATCTTCGAAAGTAGTCACCATCTGTGATGTGGTGTTGGCGGCGCGGATCTTTGGGTCGCGGCACTTGGAGGGGTCCTTGAGCCAGCAGTGCTCGATATGGTGGTCTCCTCCGCATTTATGGCCGTTCGAGAGCTCGAAGGGGCACGAGGCTTTTGGGCGAGTGCACCCCTTTCGACCGCCTGGGTGCATGCCATTGCAGCGGGAGCATCGCTCCATCTTGAGGGGCTCGCCCTTCGTGTTCGAGTTAAAGGTCTTGCGTGGCTTCTCGTTTCGAGCGCCTCTCGGATCAGGTCGTCGACCGGTGGGCTTCTTGGGCGGCCCCGGGTTAGATCGAGGCTCCCTGTGGGCAGAGCCCGAAGGGCGACGATTGTCTTGCCTTCCTATCGGTCGAGTGCTCGTGGCGAGCACGGTCTGAGACTTGTTGCTCGAGCGGAGGGATGCTTCGCGTGTCTTTTTCTCTTGCATCATTTTGGACAGAGCCGTGACATGTCGGTGGTACCCGTCGGTGGGTGTCCCGAGATTGTAGCCGATCGTGTCGATGCAGTGGTCATAGAAGCCGTCAGTCTCCTTGGCGATAGAGTGGGTGAAATATTCGTACATCTCCGAGGCCGGAGGTTGCGGAGAGAGCATTTCGGCGTACGTGAGCCAGTTGTTCTTAAAGACTTGTGGGCTTGCACCCATGTCGAGCGTCATGCGTCGTAGCATGTTCATGAGGACGGGTTGGACTTGACGGCCCTCTAGAAAATCGGCTCGGAGGATGTTGAAGGCCTGGATGCCGCTTAGATTTGAACGTAGACTGATGGAGGCCTTGAGCGACTCGTCCTCGATGGCGTGGCACACATACTTGAGACCTTCTTGGAGGTTGGATTTGTGTACCTCGAGAGCCCGAGGGTCGGTGGGTGCCTCCAGAGGAGGGCCGACCGTGTAAGCGAGCAACCCATGAATACCGGCCCACGCTCGGAACTGGAGCTCAAACAGGGCCATCGTCTCGGCCGAGATGTCTTGGCCTTTGAGTCGAGGCCAAGCGGCAGATGACCAAGGCACGCGATGCGGCGGAGAACCCTCCTGCGCCGGTGGAGCTGGGCGCCGAAGAGGTGTGTGATGAGTTGAGACCGCCGGAGTGCCTCGCTGTTCCTCCCCAGCCACGGTTGCCGGCGCGCCTCTGTAGGTGCTCAGTGCGCTCGAAGCGGCGGCGGAGGTTGGGCGCGGCGGCTTCGGCGTCGTCTATGCGGTCGAGCTGCCGTCGCTGCCGGGCTGGGGCCGCGTCGCCGTCAAGCGAGCCCTCTCAGGGGTGGATGCGAGGGAGGTGATGGCCGAGGTGTCCAACTTGCGGAGGTGCGCGCACCGGGACGTATTGCCACTACTCGGCTACTGCGACGCGCCACGTGCGGCTTGCATCGTGGCGGCGCTCATGCGAGGCGGCTCGCTAGACGACCACCTCCTGCCCTCCCCTGACGCGCGGGCGCGTCTGCAGAAGCTCGGCTTCAAAGGCACTCCGGGGCTGTCGTGGTGGCAGCGACTCTCGGCGGTCTGCGACGCGGCGAGGGCGCTGGTGCACCTCCACTCGAACAGCATTCTCCACCGCGATGTCAAGACGGCCAACATCCTGCTCGACGGCGCGCTGCTGCCGCTGCAGTCGGCGGGGGGCGAGAGGCGCGTCTACCCCGAGATCACCCGAGATTGCCCTAGGTTGCTCTAGATCGCTCGAGAGCTCCACTCCTTAGGCGCGTCTACCGCGCCTTCCTCTCCGACGTCGGTCTCGCCAAGGAGCGGGCGGGCGGTTCGATGACCATGGCGACCACTGCGACCAGCGCCATCTACTCGACCGGTTTCGCGGACCCGAACTTCCTCGACTCGAACCAGCACTCGGCCAAGACGGACGCATACGGGATCGGGATCTCGCTGCTGATGGCGTTGACGGGCGGCGAGCCGTCCAGAGGCCTCAGGAGCACGTACGAGGACGACGTCTTGGACATGGTCGCCGGCAAGGAGGGCGCCGGCCGCGGGCTGCTGCATGCGGCGTGGCGGGCGGCCCACTGGCCTCAGACGGCGACGCGAGAGCTGGTCAAGGCTGTGCACGGCCTCGTCTACGAGCGAAAGTCGCAACGCTTGCCTCTGTCAGAGGCGATGGTGGCGTTCGAGGCGGCGTTGCGCTTCGGCGGCGATGACGACGGTGGCGCGGATGATGGAGCGGCGGCCGCGGCGGCGCCGGTTGCGACCGACAGACCGACGGCGTCCGGCGCCGATTTCTCGGCCAGCGGTGCCACATCCAGCGGTGCCTCGTCCAGCGCTTCGTCGTCGTCTGGGGACGGCTCTTCTGTGCCCGGCTCTCTCACGCGCGCGGTCGGCGGGCTGCACAAGGAATATGTGGCGGGCGGCGGCGATGCGTCCTTGGCGCGGCTGCAGGACCGGATCTGCAACGCGTACCTGTCCATGACGGGGCGTCTCGAGCGGCGGCACGAGCAGCAGGGAGGCGCGCCACTGCCCAAGGGCAGCAGCGAGGAGGAGAAGATCAACGCGCTTGCGCCGCGCAGCGCCGGGCAGTCGCAGCTCTGCGACTCCGCGCACACCCTGCGGCGCTGGTACAATGCGTGCAGGCACGAGCGAGGCCAGTGGAGCGTGGGTGCGCGTCCGAGTGACAAGGAGGTGGCGCGGGTGATTGAGAGGATCAGGGGACTGCTGGACGCCTGGAGCGGCGGGTGTAGTCCGGTTTCCGGTAGCGAGGGTAGCGTTGATGTGTTATTTTGAATATCATAAACCGCCGGCACGCCGGCCCACTGCACTGAGCGATCGACTAGGTCCAGCCCTGGGTGAGGTGGGTTGTGAGAGGTTCACGAGAGTGGAACTCTGCCACATGTTTACGACACGGTCGCCCTCTGGCGGGCTCTGCCACGCGATGGCACCCTCCAGCACACTCGGCCTCAATCGGTCAAACTCTGTTACAGTGAAGGAGTGCAGCAGGGTGTGGTTGAGTGCAGGTGGGAATCAACCGGTCCCCCCCCCCCCCCCCCCGTCCCCCCGGGGTCCGGTTGCGCACACAGTCAGCACATTTGGCGATTCCGCGGCTTGCACTGGGCCCCTGAGCTGCTCCCCTGCGATTTTAGTGGCCCAGGCATGGTTCTGATAGCGAACGCCGAACGGGTCGGACCGGCCAAACACAGCCCCACACACGCGCCCGCCATAGCTCTTGGAGAGCATGCACGAGTGACCCGCTGCAAGCCGCGAGAGTGGCATCAAAAGCAGGAACGACCTGCTCTCGTTGCTCCTCACAGCTCCAACGCCTGTGCTCACAATCTACGCCGCGGCCTCCGCCTGCGGCATTGCTCTCGCGCAGCTCGGCGACGCAGAAAGATAAGTGTCCATCAGCAGGGCTCATCCAATGCGAGCGCACATTGTGCGTAGCCGCGGCAGGTGGCAGTGCACGGCCACATACCGGCTGTGGCGGCTCGTATGCCCCCGGCAGTAATGATGGTCATTAACCTGCGTATTGGAGCCGCAGCAGACTGCTGCTGTGGCAGCAGCAGCAACCTGCTGCTGCCTGATTCAGTCAAGCCAGCGGTGCAGCGAGGCGTGCAGAATTCGCGCGGTTTGGTACCTCCTGAGGCTGAGCGCGTTCAGACCCGGACCTGCTGCACGCTGGACGAAAGCTCCTGCATCGCGCCTGGTTCCCCTACCGCCCGCGCGCAGGCAACCGCCGGCTCCACCACCCCCGTCGCTGCCGCTCCCTGCTCCGCCGCAGCCACCGCTGCCTCCTCGGGCATCGCCACGATCGGCTCCGGCGCCTCCCTAAACGCCGCCGCCTGCAGGCCCTCCGCCTCCGCCGCCGCCTCCGCCGCCGGGGCTCCCCCCTCGCGCGACTCCTGTCTGTATGTGGCCTCCTCCCGCCGGCCGCCGCCGCCCGGCGCGAGGACAAGGCCGGAGCCGCCCGCCTCTTCCGAGCAGGCCTCGTCGGCGTTCGTGCCGTCGACCTCCATCTCGACAGCCTCCGCGTCGACCGCAGAGCCGTCCTCGGACCCGTCGCCGTCCCTTACAACGGCGGCGACGACGGACAACGCCTCGTCGCCATCCACAGCATCTTCCAGAAGGCCCGAGCTCTGCGGAGAGCCGCCATCGTACAAGGTCCGCCAGCCAGAGCCGGGCTCGTACAAGGTCACGCCTCTGGCGGTGCGACTGGCGAGCCGCTGCACTGCCTCGCGCACCTCGTGCTCTTCGAGGTCCTCCTCGTCGCCTACTCACAAAAGGCGAGTGTGGAGAGACGCCGTTTGGAGAGTCAGATCCAGGAGATTCTCCGTCGCCGTCGTCGTGCTCGATGTTCCATAGCGCGGGCTCGTCCTCCGCCTGACGGTTAGCACGGTCTCGTGTGTCGTTTCCACCCACGAGCAAATAGGCCGTATCTCGGCGAATCTCGGCGAATCTCGGCCGATCTTACCTCGGGCAAATAGAGCCGAACCGCCGCGTGGACATCGCCGTGGCCCTCGAGCCGCCGCAGCAGCCGCCGGCAGACATACGGGCCCGCGCTCAGCCACTCCTCGCGGCTACTCCCGCCGCCCTCCAACTCGGCAGAGCCCGGTACGCCGCGAGAAGATGCTGTGAGGCCACCATGCTAGGCGCCGCGAGTAGATGCTAGGCGCCAGCGAGGCGTCGCGCGGGCGCTTGGTGCCCTTGCTCTGTGTGCCGCCGCCTCCCCGAACGCGCGCGCATAGGCCAGCACCGCCGCCTCGACCGCCGTGTCGAAGCAGCCGAGGTGGATTTCGTTGAACCTCGCTCGGAAGCGGCGTCTTTCCTTGTTGACGCCCGTGTAGCCGGTCGGGCTGCGGCTGGAGAGGTGCAGGCGCAAGCCCTCCGCCTCCTCCACCACCGCCGCTGCCGCCGCCGCCTCCGCCGCCGCCGCCGCCGCCACTGGCGGCGCCTCCCCGACCACCCGCGCGTAGGCCACCGCCGCCTCCACCGCCGAACCCGTGCCAAAGCAGCCCAGATAGACTGCCTTGCCGTTCTCGCACTTGTTGACTTCGAAGCTGCCAGAGGTGAGCCTGTAGACACCTTTGTAGCCGGTGCCGTTGTTGCTGGAGAGGTGCAAAGCAAGCGCAAGCCCTCCGCCTCCTCCACCACCGCCGGTGCCGGTGCCGCCGCCGCCGCCGCCTGCGCCACCGCCTCCGCCGCCCCCGGCGGCGCCTCCCCGACCGCCCGCGCGTAGGCCACCGCCGCCTCCACCGCCGCGCCGAAGCAGCCCAGATAGACTGCCTTGCCGTTCTCGTACTTACTGGCGTCGAAGCTGCCACAGGTGACCCTGTAGACACCCTTGTAGCCGGTGCCGTTGCGGCTGGAGAGGTGCAGGCGCAAGCCCTCCGCCTCCTCCACCACCGCCGCTGCCGCCGCCGCCTCCGCCGCCGCCTCCGCCGGTGGTGAAAGAGCAGGCGCCCCCGCTACCTCGCGAGCATAGCACGCCGCGCAAAACCACTCGCCCTCGGGCGCGAGCGTCCCCGGCGGCAGCTCGAAGCCGCCATCGCAGCCGTCGCACACGATCGCCGTCACAATCTCGTCCGCGCGGAGCGCCGCCGTTGGCTCCGATTCCGCCTCCTCCCCCGATTCTGCCTGCACGCCCGCCCGCGCGCAAGCCGCCACAGGCTCCTGCCCGGCCGCCGCCGCCGCCCGCGCATAGGCCGCCGCCGCCTCCACCGCCGTGTCGAAGTGGCCCTTTATGGCCCTTTCCCTGCGAACGCGCACCCCCCAGGGCTAGGTCTCTCTTGCCCGCAACCCGATATGCCGATCATCCGGCCCGCTGGGTGCGCTTCTCAGCTCCCCGGCCCTGGATGTGAGGTTACCGACTGCACTCCAAGTGCTCCAAGTCTCCGGTGCGGCTGGAGGTTGCGATGACGAGGTGCGGCGGTGCGGGCGGGGGGTGGTCGCTGCGACGGCACTTGCCCGATCCGCAGACGCGCCGGCGACGAGGCTGTCCGGCCGCTGCCGCCCGCGCTGCTGCCGATCCGGTCCCCTTCACGCTCCGCACAAGCAACGACAACTTTGAGGTCGCCGGCTTTGGCCAGGTGCCCACCACCTGCTTGCCTCCATGTTCACGCTTCGCGCCCCTTCCCCCCCCTCTGACGCCGCCGTATACCGTAGGTGAGGGGCACGACTACCCGCCTGGAAGGCGCTCTCATCAGCAAGTCACCCAGGCACCAACTCCTGGGCGTTTACGCTTGACTACGAAACCATGCAGTGGATGCAGCTCGATCAAAACGGCGACGCCAACAGCTGGTCCCTGGGCGAGGAACTCGCCCAGGATGAGGTGCGAGTCATGATGCTCGACCCAGCGTGCACCAAGTCGCTCACATTCCGTGAGTTCTTCAACGGGCGACTGCGATCTCGAACTCCGACAACTGGACTGGTGCGCGGAGGACGATGGCTCCCTCGACGACATCCCTTCATCGACGGACGCCTTCACCGCCGCCGGCCCTGGGCCATCCATCGCGGCCTCCGACTGGCTGCCGCAGCTCACACCCTAATCTATCTGCCTTAGGCACGGAGCCAACGGAGCCATCGCGCATGCCCGCATCGCGTGCGGCTCCGAGGTCTCCCGCCGAGACCGGCTCGGCGCGGGTTTGACTGACGTGACTGACTGATGAGTGCTTGCGAGAGAGAGATTTTTAGCAATGCTTGCGATGGATGAAGGATCTCCGACACCCAAAACCAAAATGCAAATGCGGAGTGGAGCCCACACTTCGCGTGCAGATCCTGCGTCTCTCACTGCCCGAACAACAGAGGCGGGTACCGCCGCAGGTCCCACACTAGTACATTGAAAAAGTGTGAAAGACCGTTTCGGTCCAGCCAAATCGCAGTCACTGGACCTCGCAGCATGGCTGACGTCTCCGACGCAGGCCCTGCCAAGCGGCCCCGCTCCGCGTCGCCCAACCACGCCGCGACTCCCTTCCCCGAAAAGGGCGAGGACACTACCGAGTTCTTGCCCGACCGCGGGCTACTCCTGCGGCACGGAACCTCCCTTTCGCTGATGGCGCTGGTCGCCGACTGGCTCAACGCGAGCGAGGAGTTTGAGCAGGTCGATCCCTCTGCGGACTGGGAGAAGTGGGCATCGCGCGGGCAGGACCTCTCGCTGTATTATGCCGCCCTCATTGACCCGGCTGAAGACGGTCTGTTCCAGCGCCACGTTGGGCCTTCACGCCGACCATCCACCCGAGTAGCTACGTCTGTGACTAGGAAGAGGGGCTGTTCGCGCATGCCTGCGAGCGGTCCTCGACGGCGTGCCGGTCCCGGCGCCGCCGCACAACGCCCGGCTGATCATCGACTACGTCGCCACTGCGCTGGAGGCGCGCGGAATGGGTCTGGCTTCGCTGCTGGTCTCCTTTGTCACGCGCGCCGCTGCCTCGCTCTCGCCGCCCGCCAACCTGTATGTGGTTGCGACCGAAGACTCGTGCGTGTACTGGATGGGGCGAGGCTACGTGCTCGAGGTGTCGGAGCGGCTCAACGCGCGGCTCAACGTCTTCAACGACACTCACCTGCTGCGGCAAGCCGGCGACCCGGAGGACGCGGGCGACGAGGCGGACCTGCCGAGGCGGCGCGACCAGCCGTGGGCGCAGCTCTCTGCGGCGGAGCGGCGGCATGCGTCGCGGCTCGGCTTCACGCCCGAGTCGTGGGATGCGGATGAGTGGGGCGGGGTGCCGCTGACATGGGCAGAGTCGCAGCGCGACGCGGCGGCGAGGGAGGCCGCGGAGGCGCTCCAGTTCGACGAGGCGTCGTGGCACGGCGGCGGAGGCGGCGGGGGAGGGGCGGATGCGCAGGACGACGACGAGCTGCAGGCTGCAATTGCCCTCTCCCTCGGACAGTGGGGCGGCGGGTCGTGACCGCATCTTTCTCCGTGTCTGACCGTCACCAATTCCAATGTGCAATGACACCATCTCTCATCACGTGTGTTGTGACTTGTGTGTGTGTGTGTGTGTGTGGATATGCTTTCTTTATTTTGTTCGTTTTTTTGCTCTGCTAGTCCCCCATATCGGGATTATCGGGAGGACGACCCCGGCTAGAGTAGTCGCCGACCACACCCTATCACCCACAAAAAAAGAACCCTGCACAAACGAGATCGCAAGGGCGGGGACCTGTTCCTTTTTACCCACCTCACAGTAGAGAGGTGTGCGTTTTATTTATTTATTTATGCTATTTTGGTTTTTTGATCGCGTGGGGCGCGCGGCGCGTGTGTAATACGTACGGCTTTTTATACTAGGCTAGAAATAACTCTATAGACTATAGGTCGTAGCTCGTACGCGCGGCTACGTTAGGGCTTTTTAGCCTTTACGGCGTACCGCCGACCACCGACCTGTCTTATTTTGACAACTGAAGTAAGACCTCCTCCTCAAGCTCTCTCTCTCGCTCTCTCCGTCTCAGGCTAGACAATAGCGTAAACTCTTACACGCGACAGGGACAGCAAAAAGACAAGCGAACCCTGTAGTATGGATGCGGCGAAGGTTCGATTCCGCGCACGGGGGGGGGGGAGGGGGACAGGGGGAGGTTTCTGGGGCGAGGTTGGGGGCAGTGGGGGGCCCGCGCGGGGAGGGGGGGCGGGTCGGGCGGGGGAGCTGGAAGAGGGGGGGGGGGGGTGGGGGGGGGGGGGGGTGGGGGGGGGGAGGGTTGCCTGTTGGGGGCGGAGGGGGGGGCGGTGGGGGGGGGGCTATTGGGGGCGGGGGGGCGCTTTGGGCGGGCGGGGGGGGGTGGGCGCCGGGGGGGGGGGGGGGGGGGGGGACGGGGGCGGGGGAGATGGGAGGAGCAGAGGAGGGGGCGGGGGTCCGGGGGGGGGGGGGGGGGGGGGGGGTGGTAGGGGGGACAGGGGGGGGGTGGGGGGGGGGGGGGATGGAGGGCGGGGAGTGGGGGGGCGGGGGGTTGGGGCATCCGGCTGGGGTAGGAGAGGGGGGGGGGGGGGTTGGGGGGGGGGGGTGGGGTGGCGGGGGGCGGGGGGGGGGGGGGTGGGCGGGGGTAGGGGGTGGGTGGGGCTGGGGGGGGGGGGGATGGGGGGCTGGGGGTCTGGGGGGCGGGCGTAGGGTGTGGGGGGGGGGGGGGGGGGGGCAGGTGGCGGGCGATAGATTTAGCGGGGGGAGGGGGGGGGGGGGGGCAGAGAGGCCTCCGGGCCGGAGGGGGGAGGGGGGAAGGGGGGCGCGCCGATGGTCATGCGGGAGGGGATCGCGTGCGGGTTGACGATGATGTCGGGCGTGATGCCCTCGCAGTTGAAGGGCATGTCCTCCTGCCGGTAGGTGATGCCTGCGCGCGTGCAGCGAGGACGCGTCGGGACGTGTCGTGGGCGTGTCCTCTCCCCCCGGCGGCGGGGCGGCACCGATCGTCCCCTTTTGGCCGTGGCGCGACGCGAACTTGTCGCCGATCTGCGGCACCCGCACCGAGCGGATCCGCACCTTGACGAACTTTCGCCCCTCCTGGTTGGTCGTGAGCAGCACCTGGACAACGTAGCCAGCCTCCGTGACAATGATGACAATACTGGCGATGGGAGTACGAAGCACTCGCGAGCGGGACCTGGTCGACGTAGCCAGCCTCCGACGACCGGAGCGGCGTCGAGGCGTCTCGCTTCTCGTAGCGCGCCGCGCCGGCGTCCTGCAGCTCCTCGGCGCGCGGCTCGACGGGCGCCGTCTTGCCGATGATGATGTCGTCTCCCGACACGCGCACGCCGGGCGGCACGAGCCCGTCCTCGTCCAGCTTCGAGTAGTCGCACCTGCGGGCGAGGTGCCGACCTGCCTCAGGCTCAGGGCCCCTCCGCACGAGCCCGACCCGAGCAGCCGCATCGGCGCAGCCCCTCGACCGTCTCGCGGGTAATCTCGGGTAATCTCGGGTAATCTCGGGTAATCACCGGCGCAGCCCCTCGACCGTCTCGCGGGTAATCTCGGGTAATCTCGGGTAATCTCGGGTAATCACCGGCGCAGCCCCTCGACCGTCTCGCGGGTAATCTCGGGTAATCTCGGGTAATCTCGGGTAATCACCGGCGCAGCCCCTCGACCGTCTCGCGGGTAATCTCGGGTAATCTCGGGTAATCTCGGGTAATCACCGGCGCAGCCCCTCGACCGTCTCGCGGGTAATCTCGGGTAATCTCGGGTAATCTCGGGTAATCACCGGCGCAGCCCCTCGACCGTCTCGCGGGTAATCTCGGGTAATCTCGGGTAATCTCGGGTAATCACCGGCGCAGCCCCTCGACCGTCTCGCGGGTAATCTCGGGTAATCTCGGGTAATCTCGGGTAATCACCGGCGCAGCCCCTCGACCGTCTCGCGGGTAATCTCGGGTAATCTCGGGTAATCTCGGGTAATCACCGGCGCAGCCCCTCGACCGTCTCGCGGGTAATCTCGGGTAATCTCGGGTAATCTCGGGTAATCTCGGGTAATCACCGGCGCAGCCCCTCGACCGTCTCGCGGGTAATCTCGGGTAATCTCGGGTAATCACCGGCGCAGCCCCTCGACCGTCTCGCGGGTAATCTCGGGTAATCTCGGGTAATCTCGGGTAATCACCGGCGCAGCCCCTCGACCGTCTCGCGGGTAATCTCGGGTAATCTCGGGTAATCTCGGGTAATCACCAGCCCATCCCTTCTTTTTCACGATCGCGGGTAATCTCGGGTAATCTCGG